TTTTGAGAGAGAGAGGTTGAGGAGGGGCAGAGAGAGGGGAACAGAGGATATGAAGCCAGCTCTGTGCTGACAGCAGAGAGCCCCATGCAGGGCTTGAACTCACAAACTGTGAGATCATGACCTGAGCCGAAGTCAGACAACTTACTGAGCCATTCAGATGCCCCCCTCAACACATGTCTTTCCTTCTTTCTTTTTTAATTTTTTAATGTTTATTTATTTTTGAAAGAGAGAGAGAGTGGGGGGAGAGAGTGTTTATTTATTTTTGAAAGAGAGAGGGAGACGCAGACTCGGAAGCAGGCTCCAGGCTCTGAGCTGTCAGCACAGAGCCTGACGCGGGGCGAACTCACGAACTGCGAGGTCATGACCTGAGCGGAAGTCCGACGCTCAACCGACTGAGGCACCCAGACGCCCCTAATAGCCAGTCCTGATTCTGGCTACATTTATTGTATTTGTTCTTGGTTGTGTTGTTGTTGGTGTTTTAAAGAAGCTCTACTCCCAATGTGGGGCCTGAACTCAGGACCCCAAGATCAAGAGTCGCATGCTCTACCCAATGAGCCAGCCAGGCACCCCTGCTTTTGTTTTTTTTTTTTTTTTCACATTCTTATTTACAAACAGTGAACGTCGTGTGCACGTGCGCGCCCGCGTGTATGCAGGTGTGTACAGTTCCAGGAGTTTTGACAAATGCAGAGTCATGTTAAGGACCATCACAACTAGGATTCCTGGCAATACCACCACTCCAAAAATGCCCCTGGGCTTTGCAGTCAAGCGCTTTTGGTTTTTGGGTTTCCGGTTTGGGGTTTCGTTTTTGTTTGTTTCCTAATGGGAGCGAAAGCGACAACCAGAGCCGTGAACTTACTTAAAATTTCCAAGTACGGGGTTAGGTAGGAGACCTGGGGCTCCAGTCCTGCTCTCTGCAGCTTGGGGCCTTCCCCTCTCTGAGCCTGTTTCCTCATCTGTAAGGTGGGTGCTATGAGGGCCCAGTGAACTAGGAAGGCGGTCAGGAACCTCTCAGCGACAGCAGGGGTTGGGCTGATCGGCCCTTCCTTCTTTATTTACAGCCCCCTGGACCAAGTCATCTGGTCCAGGCACCAGGCCTGCGCAGATCAGCCTGCACTCCTTGGCTCCTCCCCTCTCTCTCCCCAAAGCCAATCAGACACAACGTTCTGTGGTTTCTACCTTCACTGCGACTGGAATTGATCCAGTTCCCCAGCGCGGAGACCCCAGGGCCGGTCCCACATGGGTCCCTGCCTGGCCTTCGGCCTTCCCCTGTTTCCCCTGGAACCCACTCCCCCTCTCCACACCCCCACCCCCAGCTTCCTAAATCACGCCACACCCTTCCGTATCCCACAGGATGTCACAGAGGCCTGCCAAGTGCCCTCATGCCCTATATGGCAAAATTATTTCCAGTATTAAACAGAAAATGAAGCGAGCAATATTAATGGCCAGACGAAAAAGAAAATGCAGCGTGAACATTTTCTTTTCTTGAGCCTCATATATATAAAACCTTGCCAGTAAAAATGAGTTTAAAAATAAACATTACAGTACAAAAGAGAAAAAAAAGCACTACTGTTTATTCAAAGTTTATTCCAAGATTCAGAGTCTGAACTTGGGTCCTTTGGTTATAGTCTGATGTAATAAAGCTTTATGTAAATAATTGTGAGAGGTTT